CCCCCCCCCCCATCGACTGGTACTCCTCACTCAGTATACCGATGTTTATGAGTAGTGTACGCCCTCCAAGGAAATCGTTGACCTGCTCTAATCTTAAAGCTTATGATAAACGACCCATTCCTGCCTATATTATCGCAATTTTCACTCGCACACTTTACGTTAAAATAGTATATCAATGTCGCCATATTGTAGGTAATTTTGCTCTATAATACAGTAAATCAATATTATCTACAAAAGGTCGAAATTGACAAATTACACAAGTAGTAAATAAAGGAATTTGTACTTTAAATTCCGATTTTATTCAAGTGTATATCGGTTTATATTACGTGAATGTTTACTGGCACGCGTAGACACAAGACACAGCTGATTACTCAAGTCATGTTAGCCTAGCAATGGTAGTCAGACAAACATTTCTTAGACAGGAATTTCACGCAGTTTTGTTTAAAAAATGAGGAGAAAAGAAAAAAATAAGACATTCAGGAGCAAAGCGAACGTTAATTTTACTAAATGGCATTTTTGTTTGTAAATCGCAATGGTGACCGTTATTAAGCATACTTTTTTCAGAGACCTCGATGAGCTTACAGAACTTTAGGTTAGCCGGCCCAGCTTGTAGGGATCAACTTGTGAGGTACGTAAAACAGTAGTTACTGGTCAAGTTCGTACTGATACATCCTCCCTACCCGTCGTATCCCCTGTCCCACTATCTTGCCTTCGCAAGCTTTATTGTATGTAGTTTGGAACGCGAGAACCCGCAACAGATAAAGATGTTTCTTCTAACAAGGGTCGAAGGTAAAGACCGGGAAACGCTAGCCAAATTATAGGCTCTAATGAGGTGGATAAAATATATTTTATGTTGCTTTTAGTGCGGAGATGAAAAAGAGATATCAATGAACTGTCGTTAGGTGGACGATGGACTATTTGTTTACCCAGAGCACGTGTCTTTTTAAGGTTTGACCATTTTTGTGGAGAAACAAATAATTAGGAGTGGAAATGGTATCTCAACTGAACTTTGATGTACATGGTTAGCGATTGATAGTCTAAAACGAAATCGCAGACATGCATATCACTTTTCTTTAAATAAATGACGAACGTAGTTATTTTTCCTCGTACTAACATTCACTGGATTAAATTATTTACAGTGACCACGTGTTTCGATGATTCTTTTTCAAATAACACCACAATGTTTGTAACTAGATACGATTATCTTAAAAACATGACCACGTGTTGTCCAAATGGTTTGGAAAAGTAAAATGAACCCTACAGTTTCTTTCATTATAAATAAACTAACTTTGTAAGATAAGTGCATGGCATATATTTTATAATGCAAAATAAGTATTTGATAACGGTGTAAAATATCTGATACTGTGATTTATATATTTATAAGTTTTTTTTATTCACCATGAAATTTAAGGAGAACGAAATTGATTACTACACAGAACCTGATATTAAGTAAGAAAACATATAAGGTTTATATAAAACCTATAATATATCTTTAAGATACATGTATAATCTGTTTCTATCATAAGTTATATGGTGCATTTTTTTAATCTAATAAGAAATATGTTCTATCACACTTAACAGGTAAGACGTTCGGTTAGCATTATGATTAAAGCAACGTTAAGAATTTGATCGTTTTATCCTTTATTATATCATTGTCCAGAGATCGGAATTTCAACCCCTTTCATAGATCTAAAACACAATGTATCACTAAGTACTCGTTTATCATTAATCTTACTGATTTGAGATCGTGCCAGAGCGAAATAGCGTAAACATAACAAATAAACATATTACAATGTTTACCTTTGCCCCTTTTCGGGAAAAACGTAAACGTTGCCAAATTATTTGTATGAGAGCTTATAATGTTTTACCACATTTTCGGTAATTATTTTTCGTCATCGATAGGCGAGTTATTATTACATGAAAAGGAAAAGAAAAGATGATCTGACAAAGGACTGAAAGGAGAGCTGACTTATCTTTCTCATTTCATAAGCTCTATCTCTGCATGAGCAAGCCTTTGATGCCAGTTTATTGTAAGATATTCCTCGGGCATACGTAGCACCCAAAGCGAGCTCGGGTTATCGCCACGTCCAATCCATCATTGCGGTATGCCTGTCATCGTGGGTTTCTCCATTGCTTTATATCGCTTTCTTTATCTCCTCATCTCACGAAATGCGACCTGCAGATAGCATGCAATAATTTCCTATATAAAGCGACATAAAGAGGCAATAAGCAAAACGAAGCTTTCCTTTACGAACCTTGAGCAATTTGAAACTTTGAGGAAACTTCTTAAGTACTCAGCACGCCATCATTATACATACTTACCGAGATCTTAGATAAAGATTAAGAGCTATCGAAAAAACAGTACATTTGAAGGTATTAAGAGAACCGCACGTGCAATATGGTTAGAGACCAAACGCAAGCCGTAGTAACTGCTCCTTAGGTGACCTGATCGGCAAAGTATCAAAACGTTTACACTTTGTTTGTCTCAACGTTCATGCAGCTGCAGCATAAAGATGAAACGTTTTCTGAAAATTTTCTTCAAATTTCAAAGGTTTTACGTTTAAATACTGATTATGAACATCAGAGGATCCCATCTAACGCATCACAAAGTCTATCTACGCTATCGGCCAATGAATGGACCTCCCGTCAGACACCTGGTATGTTATTCATGTGATTCCTAACAATCCTCGATTTAGTCCCTTTACATTCTTTTTACTTACGTTATAGTAATTTTTTAATAGATATGCAGCCATTTTACTACAAAAGTGTACATCACCTCGGGCACAGTGTAATCGACATGGATTGCCCGGATAATAACAAGGATATTCTTATCACAAACACTTTCATTTCCCCGTATATGTCAAAGCTTGTATAACAGTTTATTCGATTGATATCATGGGACATATCCTTTGATAATTAATACTCCTAAGTGGTGGTGAATTTTGTACTAATCACTGATATAAACGCTTTCTTTTATAAAGCGCATACTCTTTTGTGTCTGAAATCCATACGAAAAAAAAGACAAAACAGAATTGTCGTAAAGTTTTGCTTTCATATATACGTTTTATCTGTATTCGATCTACTTGCATACATTCCAATGACTTGGTTAAAATAAAAATCAACAGGGATCAGACGTATATTTATCTAAACTTGTAAATAAATAAACAAACTAGAAAAGAAAGTTGCTAACGCTTTCGCTCATTTTTGGTTGTTCAGGCAAAAAATCTCTTCTGGTTTGTTTATTTTTCACAAACATTCTTTATCGTATTTCTACACTTGTATTTACACAGATAAATAAAACAAAATCTCTAAGATAAAACATATCACTCAAGTTTGTTAAAATGTAACAACTATGTAAAATATGCTAATAAATTATTGTTCATGACAAACAAATCCGATTAAGATAACCAGAGACAAAAACCTCTCAAATCAATTATCTTTTACAAAAATGAACACCAGACGAATAGTTTTCGAATGCCATAGATAGTCGCGGTATCACGATCCTCCCTACGTATTTAATCTATCTATTGTGTTGTAGAAAATTCTGCTTACCAGGCCTATCAAACAGAAAGAAAACATCTTGGATGTGTCGTAACACGTCTGATTTATGAATTAAGTTCTGAGTGTTGACAAGGCCATTTTCTGGATTTTAATGGATTTGGAATATCTTTTTTTCATATAAAAGTAATATTGAATCCTATCATACTGAAGAATAATACTAAATTAATATGTTGTCTTTAAGTGAAAGTGACAATTACTGATGAAAAGAAAACAAGTATCTATTCATGCAGAATTAATTTGTGTGTAATTTGCTAAGGAAAGTTATTCTTTATTTTGAAATAATCTTAGCACCTATATATAACTACTGGCCTTTCCAATAGTGTTTCCAGGGTAAAAACAGTATTAATACGATAAAAAATAATTGTATCTAAATATAGGCTAGGAACCTAATTTTTTTTATTTTGAAACAATCTTAGCACCTATATATAACTACTGGCATTTCTAAATGTGTTTCCAGGGTAAAAACAGTTATAAATACGAGAAAATTAATTGTATCTAAATATACGCTATGTTCGTTAAGGAAAAACATGCCCATTAACGTGGACAAAGATAACGCTAAAATAAATGACATATTATTATGTATTTTAGCAGGCGTAAATAGAAAAGAATCATCTTAATGAGATCGAGTGTTAGAGATTTTCATTGAGTGACTTGGATAGAGTAGTAACATAAGGTATAGCTTGAACAAACAAAACCGTCGAAATACAAGTGGAAAAAATAGCAGTTGTTTTAAAAGTGAAGTAGTATAGTTGCATGAACAAGTTATACGCTTTGTTCTGATTAAATAAATCGAATTATTTACTTAGAAGGCATCTGTTGAAAATAAAAAGTGTGCAACATCAACATTAAAATATTTTAAACTGAATTATGTCGGTGAACATAAATACTTATTTTATCGTCAATTTATATTGACAAACACAATAACTTATCAACATAGGTGTATACTTTTTTTTTCCCAAAACGATTAACTGGATATATAATTAAAAGCGATTTTTATGCCGAGTCACTGTCTTTTTAAAACAACCGTTGGTGTGTAAAAATGAATTGTTATTTTAATGGAAACCAATTTAATTAAAATACAGATGATAATTTGTCACCCTTTCATCTATATTTTAATCCGATCGAGGCGAAACGTTCTTTTGTTCTTATTTTACATGCATAATATCTACTTAATAATCTTAAACCGTCTGACTGTGCGCTAAAGTGAATAAATAATAAATGTTTTGAATAGTTTTAAAACATGAAATTTATTTTTATAAATCAAAAATAGTAACAGTTCAAATAAAACCAAAGACAATGTGAAATCAAAGTCAGAACGCCACAGGTTTTAAGCACATAGTTCAAGTGTCAGAAGTCATATTTAATTTTTGTTTTAAAAATTTGATACATTTCAAATTGATTATTTGCAAAGCAATGCTATGGATTTTTAAATGGAATAATTTTACAAAACTGTCTTGAAATCAAAATTAGATTTAAATAATCATATTAAGTAACTAATTTCAAATTGTGTTCTTAAATACTTAAATGATTACTGTGCTTCTTGAATAAAGATTCCGAACCCTTTATGATTTAATAACTTCAAACATTTGAACAATGTATTAAAACAAAAGCAAGGACATTCAATATTTGATATTTTCCATCTAGGTGACAACATTTTTGTACTAACACACACATTAGTATGGACAGAGACAAACATATGACTTTATCATGTAGCACTTTGAATAATATTTACATATTATATATGTTTCTTCATTTAACATACAGTTGAGTAACATCAAATGTGACAAAAATAGATGTTGAAGAGAAAGGCGATCTTGATATGTATAAGAATCTTAAAACATTTCGATGAATGATGTTTTGGGTTGTCACCCATTGAATATGGTGAAAAGTTGAACACATGAATAAATTAAAACTTAAGTACAATTAAGCAGAACAAAATGCTTTTTCGTAACTATTACCAAGAAATACAAACTCGGGTGAATAGTTAACCTGTTTTCATTGGGAAACTATTATTAAAACGTATTTTCCCCATTATTAACCATACAAGGACGACGAAGTAGTTCACTAGACAATATTGAATGCTGCCTTGACACCATGTATTATAGTGATTTATATAATGAGCACCATTCATTGTTTGAAAGTCCGTACAGATAGAAATCACTTGTATTTTTATACAGATAACCATTAATTGTCTATCGTTGTATGTATACACATGTATACAGATAACCGCTAATTGTCTGTTGTTGTATGCATACAGATAACCGTTAATTGTCTGTTGTTGTTTGTATACAGATAACCGTTAATTGTCTGTCGGTGTAAGTATACAGATAACCGTTAATTGTCTGTTGTTGTATGTATACACATGTATACAGATAACCGTTAATTGTCTGTCGTTGTAAGTATACAGATAACCGTTAATTGTCTGTTGTTGTATGTACTCAGATAACCGTTAATTGTCTGTTGTTGTATGCATACAGATAACCGTTAATTCTCTGTCGTTGTAAGTATACAGATAACCGTTAATTGTCTGTTGTTGTATGCATACAGATAACCGTTAAATTGTCTGTTGCTGTATGTTTACAGATAACCGTTAATTGTCTGTTTTTGTATGTATACAGATAACCGCTAATTGTCTGTTTTTGTATAGAGTGAACCATTCATTTTTTTTCGTTGAAAATAGAACACCACTTAATCTTTATGACTATATACCGAGTATAGTCTATTGTTTTTGCTCATAATATACTGAGTAGCAATATTAAACTGTATTGTTTAGAACACTTCTAATGTACAGAACAATGCTGAACAATTAAATCTGTAGGCTTATTATGACCAGTTCAATACAATTATCATGTTTTCATGGGTATATTGAGCAACGTTCATTTTGTAGCACCAAACATATCACCATAATGTAAAAACATATTGTGTTTTCGGTTTTGCATTAATGTAGGTGATTCTTGTTCGGCACCAAAAGCACGATCCTTGCATAACGATTCATTGCTTGCCTTTGACCACAGTGTCAATCATATCACTTTACATAAGTGTCATTTATGAAACGGTCAAGACATCTTCGCTTTTACGTCCTGTCCACATCAAACGCTCTATGACATCATATTTGGCACATAATTTCGTCCATTGTCTATGATAACACCTGAAATGGTAGCCATTGACACGGGTGTGTGGACGTAAGATCTACCTAACCGGTACAAATGTTACCTCAGGTCTATAGAGGGCGTTCACCTGGTGGCATGCCGTTCAACATATGTGAGGAGCCTTGAGAACTGATGCTCTCTACAATGAGAGAAAGGCAGTCGAGACTTGACACTCCGTTAGACGATTGCTGCTCATAACCTGAAAAATAATATATAGCAATATTAAAATACACCTACGAATTATCTTCTTTTAAACACATTATTCGCAATCTAATGTATCAAAATGCAAACTCCTCGTCTCTTGTGTTGTTGTCGTCGTAGAAAACTAAAGTACACTGACCCTTTACAGACAACATCTGTCGTATAAATCAAATGTTAAATAGGTATTAAACGTTTTTTTAAATATTTAATTTCTTTTACTTCAAACTCAACAATATTTTAGAAATAAACGCAACAATCTTTTGACATTTCTAAATCGTTTGATCTGAAATAAAACCTGGTAGTCTCCATACTGAGGAGGACAGGCAAAGATCAAAGCGAGCCACAGCGTCCGTGGTTACCAGATAAGATATAAGTACGGACACGAAGGAGTTGGTACCTTTCATTTGTAAGTATCTGTTTCCGAATCTTCTTATATACACTCAGTATTAGAAATGTGGGCCTAACACTTCAAGAGAATTAATGATATGTTTACAACACACCCCTCTGGTAATATTATGTTTGATGTAGAAAATGTCTTAATATTTCTCTCAATGGTCTAATAGGCTACTCAAGTATGGAGGTAAACATTGATAGAAATACCAGCTTCCTAAAATACAAATATCCACTAATTAGAACCTAAGGGCTGGAAGCCACACGTGAAAACATATTTTCTTGAATTTTTGTTTAAAGGAAAATATGCAGATTTTTTTCGAGAATAACCTTCGACCAAAACGTCTGACTCTTCCTGATAAAGATCTCGATAACATACCTACCTAAAGCTATAGGTTATGTATCTTTATTGTCAAGTACATGTATGTTTTCATTTCTTATTTAATATTTTATTTTATTTTGTTCATCTATATTGCTTTTCAAAATTTAACATGTGGAAACATTTTAATTATACAGAAAACTACTAACATATTTTCTTAATTTTATTAACTTTACAGTAACCTGACATTAGAAAATAAAGTGAAATTAATAGATAGGCTAGCACAATGATTTTTTGCACTTAAAACGAGCAGAAAAATATTTCCTTAACTTTCAGACCAAGTCACATAAATTACTTGAGTATTCGAATTTCGTGATACGATCCCCTTCTCGTCTCACGTTTTCGCCTTGTTCTACTTGACAGAATGGTCATTTTCAGCTAGCTGCCAATAAACAGACTTACACGAAAGTGTAATTGCCTTGGTAAAAGTAGGGTAGTATTATCGTTGGTTTCAAGCCTTCCAATAACACTTGCATAGAAGTCTCAATAGTGTTAACAAGATGAGCTATATACGGGTTAATTATTTAAAACCTTACTGTGGGCGATATGGATGGAACTCCTTATGATCCCGGTATTCCCATGAAAAAACATAACATTTAGTTATAGTCATAACAACCCCAATAGCTTTCCCACATTATCACGACCCGTTTGTCTGAGGCTCAGATGGCAAAACCGTGTGAACAGTTTTCAAAACAAATATGGAAAAAGATGCGGAAATATCGATACCCTTATTATTATTATTACGATAAGGTATATCTTAATCTAACTTTTGAATTTGTTGTTTTTTGTTTGTTTATACGGTTAGGGAAATATATTAAGAGATTAACATCGAAAGGTGCAAAAGTATGCTAACAAGACTTAGGATGTTCTAATTACTTACCGTTTGTGTGGGAATAACCGTTGTGCTGTTCGCCAAGGTGGTGCAGCTTATCAGCGTAAAACTGTGGACTGTTCACGGTCTGTAAGGAACAAACGGCGTAGAAATAAAATATAATGTTTATTTCTAAACTTTGTATGTATAATACTATCTGTAAATAGGTACCTATTGATTGCTCATTTTCGAGAAAACACCTGTCATTGCCATGTTTAATTAAATTCCGTTACAATCCCTTTCATTCTACATGTGTTATGTGTGATAGGCTTAATTATAGGGATAATAAAAAAAAAATCCCTTAATATTACAAAGGTAGAGTAACGCAATAAAAAAGGAAACAAAAATACCAGCAAGTCTATCGGTATTTGTTCTGAAAGACAGAAAGTGTAAAGCCGACATAATCTATTTTTATCTTAACGTTTTTGTACACCACTTCGAACAATGTGAAAATTTTGAACATTTTAAGAACACAGCAATCATCTCGCTGAAACATGGCATTGCCTCCGTGGTCTGGGAGTGATGGAAATTACACGTGTCGACCTGACTTGGTTGTGATGGGTATCTGATCAGTGCTATTTTATTCACAGAGTACATGGCTGAGGAAATAAAACCTTTGCTCCTGTGGAGTAGTGGGGCATATACGGGGTCTCGTAAACCATCCAAAACAATACAGGTGCTAGGATGGGTGGAGTCACCGAAAGTAACAACTAGTGTGAAACTGATTCAATAATTTGATTATCAGACCATCCAAACACTCCCTTTATACAGCTTGTTTAAAAGATCACATCATATTCTACTTCGTCACAGCTTGTTAATTAAGATCATAAACAATTTTTCCTCGTCATCTCAATGGTTTTGCACGCTATGATAAAGAGCTGATATGACTTATTTAAGAATGTGCTGCACCTTGTGATTCGTCATAAGTGTAATGAAGTAAAATAAAGGTAGTAATATATTATACAGTGGCAACCGAGAAGGACAGAGTCAGTACGAAAATACAGCAACAGGAACTGGGAAAGATTAAAACACTGTAAAACAAAAAAAACAAAAAAGCTGTGATCAAAGCCTGTGTTGTCGATCATTCATCCTCGTCATTGTTTTTGTGTTTTTGTTTAAATAAATGTTAATTTGTTTTATTAAAAATTGTATAATATTATTGATATATGTATTAGTTTCATCTTTATGAATACAATTATGACACAAACTTCTCATATAAAGCCATGAACTCTACTTGCAACATGCAGTGCACACATTTTGAATAATTTTGAAAGTGATATAGCATAAGTTGAAAAAACGGTTGCAATTATGTTCACTATACTGTAACAGCGTATCAGGTTCGTGAAACCATTCTGTGAATAATGGCAGTTATGAGCGTTGGATGTTTATTTGTATTCTAGTACTACTTCTCGAGTTAAAACATTAAAAATAGTTTCGTTTTACATTTCATTACAAACATATTTTTACTTTTGAGATGTTTTCAGTTTTGTGTGCGTCGTGTATCGGCATATGTTAGTTTGTCTGTGATCAGTTTTGGGTACGAGGCAGTGATATTTATAACAAGTAATGAGAATAAATCTCTTGGGTACACGCGCTTATATCCGGCATGGGGCTATCAAACGCTTATAGTTTTCAGATGTCAGAAACCTGCATATCAGTTGTTAATGTAAGAACCGACCATATTCAATATGCACTTCTATTGCCATAGAAATTTAAAGCGGTTTAACATATGTCGGAAAATCACGTTACTCCTATTTTATATATATATATATATATATATAATTTTATTTCGCCGTTTTTCTTGTATATGTCTGTACAAGCTTGGTGTAGTGGTTTCTACATATATTTCATGGTGTGACATGATTTCTTTTAAATTATTCCTGTTAAATTGCTAATTAGGTCTCTATTTTGGTCATGTGTCATTTTTTTTCTTTGAAGGAATTTCTCTACAGTTTAACAGTGGTATGTGGAGTGTATCTACTCTCACTAAACAAACTCCACCAACACGTGCAACCCTAGCGTTAGGTCTGTTTTATGGTTTGTACATGTTCATTCCTATATAATATTACAGCTGCACAAGATTTAAACGTCCATTGTTTTAACTGCATTTTAGTTATATAATGTTCCCATTATTGTTTTTGTTGTTGTCGCGCAGGCTTAAACCTTTTGACCCATGTGATTTGACAGTTCATATTGAGTTATTTAATAAATATATTGGACGACAAGTAAGAACAAAAATCTAAAAGCGACGTTTAAAATTTACTGTTATATTTCTCATTCCAAATCAATACTAAATGAGTTCAATGGACGTTAATTGTGGAGTCCGGTGGTCGAAGTAATTGTTATGTTTTGTTTGTGCCTTTTATTTACTTCTTTACATCTTGAAGGGTCGTGACGCTTCTGTCATATTTTGCTATAGATCACCCCTGTAGTAAAAGTTACCAAATGGTTGTTAAAATAATTTATGAATTCAACATTTGTTTTCTTATATACATATGTAAAATTGTTTTTTTTTCTTTAAAACAAAATTTTCTTCTAAATTTTGAAATCTTTGTAAGAATAACCGAAATTGAAAACTTGTGTTTTGGTAATAATTCATGTTAACTGAAAGCTTATCTTTATGTAAAGCGAACACTATATGCTGTAAGTACAAAGGTTATTGTCAAATCGCAAACTTCCAAACATAATGCACAGAACCCTTTTTGAGGTTTTGTTTTGACGTTACAGCACTTCACAAATGTTTGTCAAATTAGAAAAGGATTTTGAAATAAGTTCTGATGTTATCGAAAATTGCTGAAATGTTATCTTCCCTTTCCCGTTTATCCCTTTCCCCCGCGTTCCCCCAGAAGTACGGGCGAGTACGCTTGTCATCACCTGGTATATAGCTGAGGGCCTCAATGAGGTACTAACGGCAATGGGACCCTGGCCGACCAGTAATTGTCAGTAAGGTGCTAAGTGGTATGTATTAGGGCGATAATATAGTGTTGGTTCGTCCGACTGTCAGTCCCAGTTACGCATCACATATAACAGAGGCTCAGCGGTCAGACCAAACTCTCACAAATGTATATTTACAAGCTTACACTGACCATGTTTATAGACCCTGCTACAGTTGATATTAGTCTTGACAATGTGTAGTTTCTTGCATGTATTGAGTAGAAAACAGTGATATCAATTTTGATAACATGAACAACACATTCAGTCAGATATTACATACAGAACCATAAACGATTGTTAAACCTATTTGTGTATAAGTTTTCACCCTTTTGTTAATTGGGTTTCTTTCTCCGTCGTAGATTATTTCTTAGATAATAAAGGAAGAACATCCTGTATGAATATATTTTCATTAAACGTACATCAAACTTTGAACATTTTTTTCTCTATTTCTATTTTGAAAAGTAGAATTTTATATATTTTTGTTTGTTTGTATTTTTTTCTGATTTAAGGTAAATCAACGAAGCAGAAGAAAGTTGGCTATGCTTTGTGGTCGTTTGGCTCGTTGAGGATATACACTAAATCCTACTTGTACAGATTCAGAGATCTACCCCCATACATCAGGCACCGGGCCCGAACAAACATCGACTCTGGGGACTCCTTATCGGGCCTAAATCACCCACTATCTACATCTCATCTGATTAAATTGATATAAACAAAATTGATTCGGGACATACCATGACATCTAGAGTAGAATTATACACGGAAATGCCAGCGTTTGTCAACACACACACATTTCATAATTATATTTCTGGGCATGCATTTACATTTTGAACATTATTTGAGCCTTAAATTATCATTCTATAATGAATATATGGCTGGTGCAGTTTCAAATGGGAGTGAACCCCCTGGTACGGGTCCAAATACATCACAGGTTGCCAAACGGCATCAGTATCGATATTTTCTGTTTGTATTTAACTCTATAATACTGTTCTGATCGTCAATGAAGAAAGCAATTCTACGAAACTATACCAACAGGTAATTTTTATTGTCTTGCGTCATGACTACAAATATAATAATTACTTGATTTTAAATTGAATAAAAATGAACATTTTCACACCTGAATTTCAGCATGTTGCGTGATTTTCGAGGACTTGACAATAAAATAGTACACAGTACAGTCAACCAGGCTGATGTGCAGTTAGATTTATACAATGCTATGTGTTACACTTTAGCGTCAACATGTGATTACTGACACTATGACATCATCATGTTTTACGGGACCATGACATCCACTAGACATATATAAGTGTAGACATTATTGCACACCAAGCCTGTCAATTTCCCAAAGTTACGTACAACGAAAGGAATATTCAGGACATGAGGGTCTATTTATTAATTATTAGTTTCTTTCCTAGGTGCATCGAAATAACCTTGAAGGTATTTTTCTTCCTAAAGATCAATCGAATATTTAATGAAACAAGATAAAATGAAAGGTAACTGAAACATCGAAGACTTTACGAAAATGCTTTGGGTATTAGTTATGTTGAAGCGAAGTATATATTTGGCTGTTTCATTGAAATAAATAATACATTAGCTATGTGAACTATCTACATGGTATTTCAACTTCATTTTCTGACATTTATGTTATTGCTAATAAACTATGTTTTGGTTGAATCGGTTGTGTCTAATCTTGTCCTACCAGTCGGTAAAAAGCACATATTAATACAAGCGGCCTTCTATTTCTGTTGAAAAAATCACCTTGTTTATTTATTTATGAATGTGCTGTGACGTCGTTAAAACATACTCGATGACACAACAATTTTGAAACAAGACTGTTAGATAGTGCAAAAAGGCTTCTGATGAAAAACTAAGATTGGAAAAATTAAATGTCTCGATTTTAATAAATAGAACATCCTCATAAACTAAAATTAGTAAAAAATGAAGACATTATGAAAAAGTAGGGTGGCAACGTAAATCAACTTGTAGAATATCGCCACTTGTATGTAATTACATTTAATACTGTGAAACCTCGGCTTTATATTAAAAAACGACTAAGTACAAAACGATTTGATTTGTAGCATATCATCACTTGGTGAAGTAAAGACACAAATATTTTTATTTAATTCTGTAATTCATGCCACCGGCATGAGCCTGCAGTGACACTATAGCGGGGATCAGTATAGGATATCTGTATAAGAATCTCTGCCTTGTGATGTATCAAGAACACCATTAAGCGTTAGGCTACATTCTGACAAACCCCATACATTCTTACTGTCGACAGTTTTTGTGCCATTTTTTCATTTTATACAGAAATAAATCAAAAGTAATTAAAAACATTTTTTTTGTGAAACTCGAGAACGGAAAATCCATTAGAATGCGGCTCAGCCTCTATCCCCGAGAAACATTTCTGGTTTCTGGTTCCTATCAACGCCGAATGATACATTACACCAGTAGGACCCTACACCAAAGCCTCTTACTGCGACAAATTTGTCAATTGTAAGAGCCGAGTAAAAAGAAAAGCCACCAACGTTACATATATTGTATTCTGATACTAACCTTTGGAGAAATCTAGGCAATGCGACATAACAAACAGATGAGACTTTGATGCTATTATAATATATGAAACGGACCAATTTCCATATTCCGTAAAAGTTGTACATAAAAATCTTTCCTCAACATCTGAATTTTAACACAGGGTGGAACTGACACGGTAACTGACAGATAATGTTTTGCATTTCTTTTTTATTTCTTACAATTTTTGACATTAGCTAGTTTGGATAACATATACCATTCGATGCATAATTACCTATTCAACCGGAAATGGATATTACCCAAAAATCTAATCGGATCTGTTAGTTATCATAAACATCCGAGCCGGAATTATGACATATCCGATGATCTTGATATCTATGATACGTATATGCGACTATACGTTTTACTTCACATAACGTGGGTACCATCAATTAAACCCAGCACATCAATGTATAATTATATTGACTAATCCGTCGTTAATGTTAAAATGTGTATATTTTTTTATCTCTACATTTTAAGTGGTTTTAAAACATTTATGAAAAAAAGGGGGAAACAAATCTTGTTTTTTTTAAGACTTTGAGATAAAATTAAATAATTTCTTGTTGATAATAGCCAAGAATCCGAGAGTTACAGAAAAGAAGGGAACAAGTGTGTTAAAATGTAACTTGACCCCATCCTAATGCTTTTTTAACCCTTCATACTTGACACTTTGCGATAGTAAACCCCACTAGACCTATCCGTGTAAGATCGGTAAGCTTAACACACACACACACACAAGGAATGTAACTGTCGTCCAAATATTTCATAACCGAGATAATTTTGTTGACATATGTAATATCAAATAATTATTTATGGTTAACGGTTCGTCAGCATTAATTATGAATAAAGAATAGCAAACGTTTGAGAATATTTCGGTTTGTCTACTTCCTAAATTTAGATAATTCTACCTTTGAGTAAATTTCATTCGTTAACACTAAAACCCTTATATTTACTTTTCTATATATTAATATTTCATAGGGTTTTATTGTTCAATGTTTTTTGTAGAAAGAGAGATATATATTTAAAAGGATGCTGCCTTTCAACTAAAACGAGTCCCGATAAGCTATGGCTAATTGAAGCATGATAAACACGTTTTCCGTGAACTTTAATCGTTATGTAAATCTGGGTGCCATCTTGTTTATTTTCTTACAGTCATTTTTACAATATGGATAATGCATAATTAGTCTAGTTATAGAAAATAAAATCGTAACATGTAACACGTGGATCTGACTAATGGCTAAAGTACATGTTACTGTAGTTTTATATGATTAATGATCAGGGTACGTTTCCTGTGGTACGGAAATAACGGCGTCTCATGTCTACTAGCAATATACCTTATTTTGTTTATCACTGTATAACACAGTCAGAAATACCACTTGTGGACCTTTGTCAGTACTATATAGTCATGTACCACCTTTTCTCGATACTTTGTAAATACAGTGTTTATGAAGTGTTTTCCTACATATTTTGTGTTTACATAAACATATACCAGACTTAATGCGAACAGCATTATATGAGTTAAAGTGAATAATATTGTATACTAAAAATTAACATATTATCTTTTACATGCATATTAAAATTTCGCAAACTTATTATATTATCAAAAGCGGTTGTAAATTGGCCATGGGCAGTGGGGTTTAGGTGACAGCGCGTCAGATCACCTAACACATTATAGATCTATAGACCTCACTTTAATTATACAAGGGACACCCATATAGTGTACTCACCATATAGTCAGAACTGCCACTTGTGGACCCATTGTCATTGCAATGGTCATCCACCCGCGGTCCCACTGCCATCCTGTTCCCGTGTAGAAGATCTTCCAAACTCTCAATATACTCTATAGCGTTCCGTAAAATTTCCACTTTGGGTAGTCTTTGATTTGGGTTCGGACATGTCCGTCTTTTCAATGCTTCAAAAGCTTCATTCACTTTCCGAAGTCGCCGGCGTTCTCTCATGGTGGCCGCCTTTCGCCTGTCTACCGTAACAGTTTTACGTTTGCATGCTTTGCATGCCCAAAGGAGACACCTCCTGTTTGGTCCATGGTACCCCGGGGCTAACACATGGGGTACATGCTCGTCCCCCTCCTCGGGGGTGTCGGGGCTCATGTCATCGTCCTCTTCCGACTTTGGGGAACCACAAGTGGAACTATGCTTGTCACTTCCGTCCTCAGACGGTTCCTCTTTGATCGAAGTTCCGTCACTGTCCATACTGTCCAGTCTGTCTTTCTTGGCGTCCTCCTTGAGCGAAGATGATAGGAATTGTCTGTCCTTCAAGGTGCGACACCGGGTACCCCCCGGACGCTGTTCTGTGGGTGAGACTGTGGAGGGGGCGGTCGGGCCGTAGGTCCGGGGTGTGTTGGTTGGGCTGTGGTACTGATACAAGTCGGAAGAGTAAGGGCGCTCGTATCCAGGCCCTCTGTGATAAGGCTGGGCGGCGTGTCCGTAGTGATACGATTCCTGGCTGGAAGATCCCCCATGGGGATAGGAGGAGAGGTCAGTCAAGTGCTGCCCCTCCGACACATCCACCGGTCCGAGCGGGTTAGCGCCGTTAAATGTATGGAGACTTGGTTCATACCGACAGCTTCGGTAATCGGCCATCATCATCATGATTCCGAAATTGTGTATATGTTTTAGTATACAATGTACAGCCGCCGGTGTCTCTCAAACACTGTTGTTATTAAAACAGTCCCCCTTTCACTTCTTTCTTATCGCGCTTTGTCAACTCACTGGTAGCTCTCAGTCAATACACGTGCGATAACCAGTCCACCTTCTAGACGGGAAGGAATTTCTGGAGAAAATTAAAACTAGATATCAAAACATCCCTTCGTCACTACCTCACAAAAAACCTTCTAAGTGTTGTGTATTTCTGTCTCCGTTTATATCATAAAAACCTGAGCTAATCGTACATATGTCAACAGATAGTATTTTAAAGATTTGAAATCCGATAGGGAAATTAAAATGCACATGGCAATGTTTTCCAATTAATTAGCCCGAGCTTGTTCCCATTTCTGTCAGCACATGCCTAGCAGTTAAAGTCCTCAAATACACACACAACATCGCTTTCTGACGAGAACCTTACCCTCTAAGAGCTTTTAGGAAAATATCCCAAAACTTTACAACTTTTGCAATATTTATAATGGTGAGAAACCGTGTAAGCGGTGTAGGTTGTCGTAAAACACCCTCCCCCATAATTAGGAGGGCCGTGGCCAATCAGAATCCAATACGGCTGCTGCTGCTGAGGCTATGATAGAACCCACCCCTTGAATTTGCATCCAACTGCTTTTCTCACATAAATGAATGATGAAGAGACCGGGGTCACGTTTGACGGGTCAACAGTAACGGTAAAGTAAAAACACATGTGTGAGAGACTTACAGGGAGGAAAATCCAGCTCTTTCTTTCGCCGCAAATCTTCCTTCTCTTTTGGAATTTAAAAAAAATCAATGTTACTCAAGTACCGTTCTTAATAATTACATCCGAAGAAACAAAACTGATGTTTTTCCCCGTTTTCACTTCATATCTTTTCACCGAGAATTACATCATAGTAATTATCGTGGTCTCGAGACGTTTTACCATGTAAGAGCGACACTTACGCTTAATTGGCTATCTATGACCGGAAAATTAACTTAAACTACTTTCGACTTTTATCGATAGTCCGTTACTGTAGACATCAAATTAAGATAAAGGTCTTTGTGGATACTACATTTCAACACATACCTATATCAGAACGATATCTACACGTTTTCGTCATCGCACGTGCAATCAGAAGCGCGTGTTAACATGCTCGGGCGAGTTTATTAGAAATATATCTGAGTGACCACTTAGAAATACACTGTGATTTCGTATGATGGGGAAAACATTTGAGTGTGTGTTTACTTTATTGAAGACAGCACTACAGAAGGACATAGGGAGAGTATATATTTCTTTATAATTGATACCATGACTTGACTCATAGAAAATCACATTCTATAATCAGGTTTAATACTGTGTCTTTGATCTCGATCCGTCGGAAACCACGTCCTATAGATATTATGTATAGGTTTTATACCCACTTCTCCTGACCCACTCCACCTATACATGGTGTACGTGCTTACATATCCTCTTATTCCATTATTCCTAGTCACCATGCCTTACCCCCTCCCCTCTTTACTCGGTCTCTCTGACCTCTTTTCCCCTCTTAGACTTCTACCCACACACTCAATGTCCGCACCCTTAATCCTACCCAGGTCCTACTTCGCTCCTTATCAACTAATACTGACTATACCCCTGTCCCTGGTCTCCATACCCTATACCTGTATCACAAACTCCCCACCCTCGGCCCCACCCCCTAACCTGTGGTTGAAGTAATCGTTGTTTTCCCTCGGGTACTCCGGTTTCCTCCCACAGTCATCTCCCTGCGCTCACCCTCCTGACCAACAAGAGTGAAATAAATATGTTGTTAGAACGTGTTTCGAATTGTTGTTAAAAAATAAATTTCGACTTAAGTTTTTATTTTCTGATTTTAATGAAACAATTAAAACTCTAACCTCTAAACATCATACACCAGGCCCCTAGCCCATCCATTCCTCACTTACGCTACCCCTGCCTCTCATTCCCTACCCACTGGCTCCGCCCAATTTCCCTATAGTCTCAACCCTCTTCCTCCTCCATCGCTCTCTCTCCTCGATCCCACTCTTCACCTCTCTCCATCCAAACTTACTCCCCCTCACGAACGACTCGAGAAAAAATCAACTCGTTACTCGCCATGCGGATGATAGCGGGTTCATATTTTTATATTTCTAGATAACGATATGATATCTTGAAGATAGATAAGAGTTGATTTATGGGGTATGTCTTCCTTAAAATCATACATAAAAAACTAGGAAGAAAAAAATGCATTGTCTTGTATGACTAAATTTACATTTTTTTTTTTAAATCGTGGAACTTAGAACGAAGAAATTATGATAGCAGAAGTTTGTACCACACTAATGTACAAGTCTAGTCAACTTGTTCACTTCATCAATAATAGTAGTAAAGATTACATATAAAATACATACACTGCATACGTAAACTTTAATTTTAACAGAAATATGAAGGACAACATAATATATTCAAATACATATTTTATTCAAGAATAGTAAGATCATTTAGGATAGAATACGGGTGATTTCATTTCCCTCTTTGGCCGTTAAGTTGAGGGTGTGTGGACGATGATTCTTTGAGTATCGCTCCTGGCCCGGGTTGCTTCCTCTCAAACGTATGATTTATGACATTTAAAATAGTTTCTGTCAGCACCGGATGGGTACATAATTGATACAACTTTAAATTATACATGTATGATTTATGCGGTAAGGAATTAACCGATGTCTTTAAATTCGACAATGCCACACGCCATTTTAATATATTTGACACATCTTGTGATTTTATAACTGATGTGTCAACGAATATGTACATGCTGAAAAAGTGATAATATTTTTTTTCTGTAGCAGTTACACCTTCAGTCAGAATATTTAAATAGATCATTTTTTCAGTCTTTTCCCTCCGGTTGGAATAAGCTTTTTCATTTTATAGGACTAAAATGACACCTAGACTTTTACTATATATGATGTAAAAAAAAAATCCCCCAAAAAACGTATTAAGAAAAAAAAATCAACATTTTAAGAGAATATTTGACATATAATGTGTTTATTTTGTAAAACGATAAACTATCTAAACACCGGTCTTCATATCGTACTTGGTGCCACACGTGCTCCGGAACACGTGCGTCTCATGAACGGAACTACCTATAATATTACGTCCGTGCTATAATCTGAATACACTCAATGACAGATATGGAGAAGATAGCGAAAATTAATGTAAAACTAAATGACTTCAACATATTTCTTCTTATTTTTTTCCCTGGCGTTGTCTGAAATCTGTTGGAAATTAGAATATTCGAATCTGTGCCGACCGTGTCCAATCGCCAATTTTGAAAGTGACCGTAATTTGTCTATAGGGGTCATTTTGTGTTCTATAAGGGGTCATTCTGTGTTCTATTAGGGACCCCGTGGGTCCGATCAGATGCTGTTTGTCTCCGTTCTGTCAAAATCAACGTTCTGTTAATGGGAGTTGATTTCACGGCCGCGATAGATCTACACTTCATTAGTGTCATATAATAGCATAACTAATCTCTCTATATAAAATATCCGGTCACTCAGCATCAGTAACACGATCCACTCATACTCCAGCACATATCGTCCGAACCGTTTGGCGCTATTTTCAATTTGAAAAATTAATATAAATACTGAACCAATTCAGAGAATATATAGTTCAGCGCGGCCCAAGTCTCTCTGGCCCAAACGTAAGATTTGAAATGTTTGAAGACTTGTGTCGGGAACAGAAGAAACTCGGGTTTATACAATGTGTATAGGATGCACTAAGTACAATAAAATACGATAAGAAACAGTATGGTACCCGAGGTACAGTACAATATCGTACAATAACTTTGGTTTACAGTTTATAATACAATACACGTCAACTACAATGCCAATTAATTGTCATCTATGACGGAAATAATACAATACGTCATTCTCGGCCGCTTCATAAAGATATTTAGATAAATCTATCAGTCATTTAATTGAATCACATTTCATTCTATTAACAGTATGATACACTATTCGTCTGACTGTGTCTAGTAATCTGATACCTTTCCGTTTATGTATATTTTAAGTCAATAACACTTAAAACGGAACATAAGGCATTGCCTGTTTTCATTTTCGCATTTAGGCTGGTTCGTTTCTTGTTTAATTGTAAAAGACATAAGTGTTTTAGGATTAAAAACGAAAACAAATCACAAAGACATAATGATATCATAAGACTTTCTTAAACTCAATTTTCAAATATTGAATCAAAAACGCATGTTTGCTTGTCAGAACTATTTTCTTACGGGCCATGCCAATACATCATTTATGTATGACACATAATTCTTGGGGGATACGTGCATGTTTTATCATATTTTTATTTTTATTTTACAAATCTTGTAAACATCCTGTTTCGGTTCCGTCTTGTCCTGTTTCTACCCAGGTGTTCCACCCAGAAGACGCTTCTCTATCTGCAAATCTCCGCCAGGTTTTCCTCGGGCGCACAGTACATTACGTATACGCACCTGATGGCGACCACCCCTAATCCCAGAGCAATACTTACAACATTCCTTACCTGTATACGACGAAATCAAGTTGCCCTCCACTTCCATTTCTCAGCCTGGTTTATTCATTCTATAAAAAAATATTAAACTTTTGTTCAACTTTATACAGAACCACTTAGAAAATCAAATGGCAATAATTAAACCAATATCTTAATGAAGAACTTCTAACGGAATTATATAAACATACTTAGTTTTCTTGGGGCTAAAAAGTACAATTGCAATTTGTAACATATTCAAATTACAGTTTAATGCCTATTAAGTAAAATTAAAGTTTAATGCCTATTAAGTATACCGATATACACTTAATCAAATGATGAAAAGAAAACACACTGACACACATTCAAAATGATTGATTGTAAAACTAGCTTCGTTCATAAGATTTATACTTTAGTATATACTTGAACAAAAACTTTATGATGGTTTTTTGTTAATAAAAGTCAATATTCACTATTTATATATAAAAAAAGATTTTGAACGTTAGATTTTTTCTAATTATTCGTGAAGTTCTGAAACTACTATTTAAACATCAGAGAAAGAATGATTTTAAAGTGCTAGAATGATAATAGCTGAAATCACACTTGGTTCAGTAATAAAAGTGTAGGTAGCTGCATATATATATATAGTCAAACTCCAACATATTTTGTTAAGTATATGTGACTCATTTGATTAACAAAATAGATTCAAAAATTGAATGTTGATTTACACATCGATACAAGGTAAATCTTGAGAACCCTTGGATTTGAAAGCGTACCCGTCCTATGCCTAATAATTGACCATGTTACAGTAGCTACATGTACATGTAACGGCCACACGTCAGGATGATAGTTTTGTAGTGTACATGTATATACAAACGTATCAAATTGCAATGAGATTGGTTCAGACAAGCATACCGTATAGTAAATATCAGGTTGTGATTACACATTCTTATTATGTATTGTATGTAATA